ATCAATTAAGCTCACTACAAAAACTGGCCAGCATAGTTAAAATTTTTAGTTACAATTAGTTACAAGTTTTCTTCTTCAGGGTATTAGTTTGTCGCTAATTGTAATTTGTAGTTAAAATAGCGAAACAGCCACAAAATGTCATACTTTTAGTTTTTGTTTTTGTTTTTTGAAAAGATCATACTTTTAGTTTGTTGCAAATTGAAGCATATCAGCTATAGTTTTGATTGTAACAAATTTGTTACAAATATTTTGTTTTGTAGAGGAAAGAGTAAGTAGATTGAATAGTAGTTGTTGGGTTCCGAAGTAACACATGAAATATGGTATTCAGAAATATGGTATTGAGCAACGGAATTCTCCTATCCGTTGTTGGAGTCACAATCTGTGTTAGCGGCTGAAACTTGGGATATAATAAAAGCTTTAAAAAAAACAAGAGAAAGAGGTCTTGACAGTCTCCATGTCTTCTCCGACTGGCAAGTTTTGATTAACTTGTTATTCAAAGAGTCACATTCAGAGATTCATAACCTATTGTTCGAGATTAGTATATTAGTTTCGAACTTTCGAATTGCCAATGTTATGGCTGATTCCTTAGCAAAAAGAGCTCTATATACTCTTAAATTGTCGACGATTTCGACGTAATCAATAAAATTATGTTTTTGACCCAAAAAAAAAAAGAAAATTTCTTTTTGCCACAACTATTCTAGTTACAATTTTTTTTTGTGGCAAAATAGTTAGTGTATGATGACTCTCTTGAGTCCTGACAAAACAAACATATTCACATGCACCAAATTATTATAAACTTAATCATGTTTGAACGTGTTAAAATGTTTAGTGTGTATTTGTAGTAATTACTACAAATAGTCGCATTAGTTTTGCGTTGTTAAATATTCTTATACTTATCGCCACATGGTTAATTATAGTACTTTTTTTTAAAAAACATTTGAATTACTTTATCAATCAACAATAAATGAAAAAATCAAATAAAAAGTCAAAAGCCTGAAACAACCAACATAGCTATGACAAAGCAACATCAAAATTCTAATAAGGAAAGATTGATAGATGTCACTACCACGACTCTCTCTCAAATGATCAAGTAACTATGAAGGACCACCCAAAAACAGAATAACAGTGAAAGAAATCATCCCAAGTCACACTTTTAAAAAATCTCTCGAGCAACCAGATTCGCGTTTACACTCTCCTCTTCAAAATTACAAGTATCAAAGAGTAGACGAAGCGCTGCAACTTGATATATGGAAGTAAGATATCTTGGCCATTCATAAGGTTTCTATTTTCTAAACCGGTGCAAAAATAGCCTTTGCAATCAAAGGCAAAGGTCAAAAATCTCTAAAGCTAATTAAAAAAATATATATATATCTAAAGTTTCTCATAGTTAAATGAAATAACAATTGTTATATATATCCGTGACTAATTGTAACAAATTGTCTACGGTTATAAATGTTGCGAGACCGTGTAACTAATGTTAGCATCGGACAAATTCCGTAAATTTTGTGGGACTCTGTAACTAATATTACACATTAATTGCTTCACATAAATTTGTTTT